GAAGTGTATTCGAATGCAGTTTCTCAGTTGGATTGTCCCAACCAGGAGTCAGCAATAGCTTGCCACCAGTGGGTTAATACCAGTGAAAATGCTTACATTCGCTCCGAATTTTCCTACAATGCAAACCAAAAAACAGCTTTAGTTTCACATCAGCAAACTCATACCGGTGAAAAACCGTACAAATGCTCTGAATGTTCCTTCAGTTCAAGTCAAAAATCAACACTAGTTTGGCATCAGCGGACTCACACCGGTGAAAATCAAAAACCATATAAATGTTCCGAATGTTCCTTTAGTACTGGCTGGAAATCAACCCTGGTTCGACATCAGATGACTCATACCGGTGAAAAACCATATAAATGCTCTGAATGTTCCTACAGTTCAAGCCGAAAATCAAACCTAAGTAAACATCAGATTACTCATACCGGTGAAAAACCGTATAAATGCTCCGAATGTTGCTACAGTTCAAGCCAAAAATCAAACCTGCTTAGTCATCAGATGACTCATACCGTCGAAAAACCATATAAATGCTCTGAATGTTCCTTTAGTACTGGCTGGAAATCAACCCTGGTTCGCCATTATATGACTCATACCGGTGAAAAACCGTATAAATGCTCTGAATGTTGCTACAGTTCAAGCCAAAAAACAAACCTGCTTAGTCATCAGATGACTCATACCGTCGAAAAACCGTATAAATGCTCTGAATGTTCCTTTAGTACTGGCTGGAAATCAACCCTGGTTCGCCATTATATGACTCATACCGGTGAAAAACCATATAAATACTCTGAATGTTCCTTTAGTACTGGCTGGAAATCAACCCTGGTTCGCCATTATATGACTCATACTGTTGAAAAACCATATAAATGCACCGAATGTTCCTACAGTTCAAGCCAAAAATCAAACTTAGTTAACCATCGGATGACTCATACCGGTGAAAAACCGTATAAATGCTCTGAATGTTCCTACAGTTCAATCAAAAATTCACTCTTAGTTCGCCATCAGATGACTCATACTGGCGAAAAACCGTATGAATGCTCTGAATGTTCCTACAGTTCAATCAAAAATTCACTCTTAGTTCGCCATCAGATGACTCATACTGGCGAAAAACCGTATAAATGCTCTGAATGTTCTTACAGTTCAATCAAAAATTCACTCTTAGTTCGCCATCAGATGACTCATACTGGCAAAAAACTGTATCAGCGGAATAACTCAAATTTTTTTCATGAAAACGGTCAGGCTTCGACTTTCTTTCAAAAAGATAGTGTTCGAGGACCCATTTTTGTTAAGCCTCTACCTTTCGTGAAGCCTCTCACATTTGTAAAGCCTCTGTACTTCGATGACCCCTTTCTTTCCAGTTCCAGCTTACCTCCCAGTTCCTTCTCAAGTTACCAACCAGCATCTCACAAGTCTCATCCTGCAGCTCCTCTCACCTTCTCACCTGGTGAATCTGTTTTCACACCTGCTCCCACTGTCCCACCTACCTTATACTCTACAACATTTCCTTCCCCTCACATATTTCCTGCCAGTTCAGCGACCATGGGGCGTTTATAAAAATTTATGTGATATGTTATGATGGGGACGAAGTTTCTGGTTCAAATCAAATATCAATTCGCACAATGCTGACTTAAATGGTTTAATAAATCCTAGTTGTTTTACTATTACAATGTATATTGGGGTGATATGTGACAAAGTATAAATTCTATAAAGTTAAGTAATTATAATCAATAATCAGAGAATATTACAAAATCTATATTAATGTTATTAGAAGTTAGTATAATATTTTATACGTTAATATTTTTGTTTTATTAAGTTTTTGAGCAGGAATCCAAATAACCCTAAAATGGTGTCAAGACTCAAGAGACTAAAATAATTATTACCTATTTAATTCGCGTTTTTGACACCACTCGGGGGTCCAAATTTTGGGCTTTAAAACTACTATTTCTTGGCCAATTTTTATTTTTTCATGCTGATTTGGAGGCCATCAAAGCATTTGACCCAGTCAAAAAGGTTTCGGTTGTATATATTTTACAGTTTTTGTGGAAAGTCACGTTAAAGTTGATGCCGTGGTGTCAGTAAAATGGTACGGATCCACCCATCCATATATTTAAAGTCACTATAGTGACGGTACATTAGAACTAGACAGAAACAAAGTGTGAAGGGCCTGAACGGAACCCCTCGGTTTCAGTTCCTTGTTTAACACTGCCGTACAGCAAGGACATTCACCGGGTTCTCGCTTTATATATCGTCTCGCTTTATATATATATAGTAAGATATCAATACTTGAAAAAGGACAAAAGAGGGCGAAACTTGGAAAATTAATTACTCCTCAAGCTCGATCGCTATTCCTGAACCTCATTGAAATTGAGGGTTTTAAGTTAAATATTTGGCTTTAGACAATGTAATTTGCAGTTATACAGTGAAAATATACACTTATTATACACACACAGTATTGTTCCTCCGCCCTGTGGACCACATAGAGGCTAGCTCATATAACATCTGAACTGCTGTTATTTAAAACATATGGTGCGAAGCTCAAACTAACAGTTGTACTGAAGCTTTAGTTTGGAGATCACTTCTAGTAAATGTTTAGAACATTAAGTTTCGTAGTTTAATAGCTTTATGTAGCTTTATAAGTATCAGCATTATCCGAATACCTTGTTAACATTAAGTTGAACCTGTTTCAAATTTGGTAACCACATTCGCTTGTTTTCTATTTTCTGGGTTACTACCATCACTTTTTAAAAGCTTGTTTCTGCCTGATGTCAGATGTAAACAAATCGAAAAGCTCTTCAAATAAACACTGACATTTAGTTTTGTACAGTCCTTGACTTGTTAGTGAAATGGAGCAGAAAAATGTTCCAGACGTTAAAGATGAGATGAAGATGGAAGAAGAAAGTTTTCCACCAGAATTGATCAAGACAGAGATTAAGAAGGAGGAAGATAATTTTCTTATTAAATCAGAAGTGTATTCGAATGCAGTTTCTCAGTTGGATTGTCCCAACCAGGAGTCAGCAATAGCTCCCCACCAGTGGGTTAATACCAGTGAAAATGCTTACATTCGCTCCGAATTTTCCTACAATGCAAACCAAAAAACAGCTTTAGTTTCACATCAGCAAACTCATACCGGTGAAAAACCGTACAAATGCTCTGAATGTTCCTTCAGTTCAAGTCAAAAATCAACACTGGTTTGGCATCAGCGGACTCATACCGGTGAAAATCAAAAACCATATAAATGTTCCGAATGTTCCTTTAGTACTGGCTGGAAATCGACCCTGGTTCGACATCAGATGACTCATACCGGTGAAAAACCATATAAATGCTCTGAATGTTCCTACAGTTCAAGCCGAAAATCAAACCTAAGTAAACATCAGATTACTCATACCGGTGAAAAACCGTATAAATGCTCCGAATGTTCCTACAGTTCAAGCCAAAAATCAAACCTGCTTAGTCATCAGATGACTCATACCGTCGAAAAACCGTATAAATGCTCTGAATGTTCCTTTAGTACTGGCTGGAAATCAACCCTGGTTCGCCATTATATGACTCATACCGGTGAAAAACCGTATAAATGCTCTGAATGTTCCTACAGTTCAAGCCAAAAATCAAACCTGCTTAGTCATCAGATGACTCATACCGTCGAAAAACCGTATAAATGCTCTGAATGTTCCTTTAGTACTGGTTGGAAATCAACCCTGGTTCGCCATTATATGACTCATACCGGTGAAAAACTATATAAATACTCTGAATGTTCCTTTAGTACTGGCTGGAAATCAACCCTGGTTCGCCATTATATGACTCATACCGGTGAAAAACCATATAAATGCACCGAATGTTCCTACAGTTCAAGCCAAAAATCAGACTTAGTTAATCATCGGATGACTCATAACGTTGAAAAACCGTATAAATGCTCTGAATGTTCCTACAGTTCAATCAAAAATTCACTCCTAGTTCGCCATCAGATGACTCATACTGGCGAAAAACTGTATCAGCGGAATAACTCTCAGGCTTCGACTTTCTCTCAAAAAGATAGTGTTCGAGGACCCATTTTTGTTAAGCCTCTACCTTTCGTGAAGCCTCTTACATTTGTAAAGCCTCTGTACTTCGATGACCCCTTTCTTTCCAGTTCCAGCTTACCTCCCAGTTCCTTCTCCAGTTGCCAACCTGAACCAGCATCACACAAGTTTCACCCTGCAGCTCCTCTCACCTGGTGAATCTATTCTCACACCTGCTCCCACTGTCCCACCTACCTTATACTCTACAACACGAAGTTTCTGGTTCAAATCAAATATCAATTAGCACAATGCTGACTTAAATCGTTTAATAAATCCTAGTAGTTTTACTATAACAATGTACATTGGGGGGATTTGTGACAAAGTATAAATTAAACTGTCTGGTTCTATAAAGTTAAGTAATTATAATCAATAATCAGGGAATATCATAAAATCTATATTAATGTTATTAGAAGTTAGTATAATATTTTATACGTTAATATTTTTGTTTTATTAAGTTTTCGAGCAGGAATCCGTATAACCCTAAAATGGTGTCAAGACTCAAGAGACTAAAATAATTATAGAAAATCAACAATAAACTATTACAGGTTAGATGTTTACCTGAGTTCTATATCTTTCGATAGTAACTCCATCTATAAATCTGATAAGCAAGTCATTCTGTATTCCACCAGTACTTGTGATCCTGGTTGCAGCTTTCAACATGTTTTATGGGCCCAACACTCAGCTTTCACAGTTTATGACTTCTGGCCTCCTTGCGATGTCGTAGCAGGTAGACCATTTCTTGTTGTCGCGGGCTAACCAGATTGTATAGGAACATCGAAGAGCGACCAAAGCAGCCTCATTCAGGGCTTTATTCTTCGTTCTCTTCGCCAATCCAAAGTAGTTGAATAGAGCTGGTACAGTATGGTGCAAGAAGCCCCTACACCCAATCTCTACCGTAAAGAGCAGAGCTTTCCAACCGCACTCGTCGATGCCAGGAATCAGCTCTCTGTTTTAGCGTGCTTCTTTACGTGCTTCTTGGTCACTGAAGTTACTCTCGTCACCACAAGTCAGTTCAATCAGAACTACTTCTCTCAAACTATCCGACCATACTACAATGTCGGGTCTCTCCGCTGTGTTGTAGATGTGCTGTGGGAACTGGGCAGGTAGTGTATCCTCGTCCCATATCAGCTTCCAGTCTTTCGCTCTCTCAAAGGGCCTCTCCTTCCTCAACTTTGGCTTTGGGTGGTCATACTTCCCATCCTTCGACTTGAACCGTATCCATTCTTTGTCGGAGGTCGTGGAACGTGAGGAATTGTACATCTTGAGTTGGTCAAGCAAGGCTCCGGCTATAACACGTAGGACGTTGTCATGTCTCCAGTTGTACCTTTTGGAGTTTCTTGCTACACTGCAGACGGCTAGGATGTGCTTGATGTTGCACGTCTTCCAACCACAAAGTGTACAATTTCCTGTACTCGAGTAGTTCCACAATTTCATGTTTGCAGGGGTATTAGCCACGTCGTGTGTCGAGTTTAGGCGCAATTTAAGGAGAGCCGGGCTCATCTTGTAGTTGTAGATAAGGCTGTTCCATCCTAAGTCTAACTGCATCGTGTTCTCCCATGTCAAGAACTTGCCCTGTACTCCCTTGTTTACCAGGGTGACTAGCATGTCGTTCTCTGACACCGATTCTACCAGTTGTCTTAGCTTCTGCCTCTCAGTCAACTTTGGTTTGCATCCGAGTCCTACTCGGTCTTTAGTCACTACTCCAAACAATTCCTGGAAGTAAAGATCTCGCTCTCTTGCCGTCAGCTCCGTTGTATAAGACCATCTCGGGCTGTTCTCTTGTTTCTCTTTCTTGTTATTATAGGCTTCTACAACTTTGGTGTCATCACTGTTCTTCAGGGCGTGTCCTTTTGATACCTGAAGAGACTTGTATAAGTCACTCAACTTCTTCAAGTTTAGCCCAAAGTAATCCTTGCTCCTGTACAGGACTGTCACAGTAATTGACACCCAACCACTTCTTCAAGAATCTGGTGCAGATAGCATCAAGTTCGTACACAAAACTTACAGGAAGGTTGTAAATCATCAGATCCCAGGACATCTTGCTAGTCAGCATGTTATTGTAGATCCAACACTTCATGACACCGTTGAGACCACACTCATCCACTGTCTGAAACAGAGTCTTTAGTTTGTCTTCAATCCGTTGTTTAGTGTCATTTAACCCTAGATCGACATAGATCCAGTGGCCCAGGAACTTAATCGGGTTGTTTCCTACATAGCTGATTATCTGGCCGTCAATCAATATCTCTGGGTCATAAGCCTGGTACGTACCATCTATCACCTTCATTCCCAGGGAGACACACTTGCTAGGCTTGGCCTTCATTTTCCTACTCCAATCCAAAAACTGCTCCATCAACTTTATCTGCTTCTTTACCTTCTCTAGTCTGGAGGACATAAGTGTTAGGTCATCTGCAAAAGCCCGATTCGATGTAGGTTGCGAGCTAAAGGAAGGTTTATAACCCAGTTCTTTTTGATCTTGTAGAAGATCTGACAGTAAGTTGAATACAATCAGGAACAACACTACTGAAAGAGGGTCTCCTTGAAAGAGGCCTAACATGTAGTACAACCAATTTGACTTCCAGTCTTTGGTTACCACCCTTACAATCAGTTCATCATAGTACTTAAACATGTAATCTATGAGCCATTCAGGGAATTTGTAATGCCGGAGGGCATAGAGGATCAAGTTGTGTGGGACTCTGCCATATGCATTCATCAAATCCACCCAGACAACGAATATCTGACGTCTAGTAGATTTGGCGTCTTTTAGCTCTTCCATAAGCACTTGGGTGTGTTCAAGACAACCAGGAGTCTTCTTCAGAAAGCCCTTCTGAACTGACTTGTCTATGTACTTATTAGACACCATATAATCCAGCATCTTGTCTGCTAGAATTCCCATGTTCAACTTGCCGCTGGTGTTCGTTTTTGTAATATTCCTGAACTTGCTTGGGTCTGACAGATCCTCAGTCGCCATTGTAGTGGCACTATCTTCTTGTCCCACAGGATAGATAGGGTTTGGAAGATCATGTGTGCGGTTCTCGGGCATCTCTTATACACCACATATGGTACACCGTTTGGACCAGGGGATGACTTATTACGCCTGCTCTTCAGCTTTGCATCGAAATCTTCTCTATCCAGCTTTGTCAGCTCGAACTTAACTACTGGGGGCTTGGCCTCAGGAAGACCTTCCAACTTAGTGTAGATTGCACCTCTGTCCGTGTCCTTATACTCCTTCTTGAAGAACCTGTCTGCTTCTTCCTTAGAGAAGCTTGGCGGTGCGTTGTTCTGCTTACCATTAAGTAGCTTCTTGCTGTTTGTTTGTTTGGGGACTGGTTTGTAAGCCAGCCAATGTTTACGAATATAATATTAATAACTTTATTACATAATCATAAATATATATCATAAATAGATCAAATCTGAAACACAAATTTGCACGCAGTTAATAAATTTATTTATAAAAAAAAGAAAATGAAAAAAAAAGTTTATTGATAAAAACAAAATATGGAGCACTCTGTGCTTCCAACAGCCTTTCAGACTCGCGCTAAGTTTGTTAGGGACTGATTTAGGATATCGTAGATATTGCTATGCCATGCCATTAGTTTGGATATGTAGTGTTTGTGATTGTTGAAATAAATTAATTACGGTTTGTGCTGATAGGAAAATAGTGATAGTGGGGAATGTGGCAGTGTAAATATGGACCTGGAATTTAGGATGTGTGGCTTATCCATTAATATTAGTTGCCGCTAGTCTGTGATCAGTTTGTTCTGGTTTTTTTGTGTGCAAATATATATTCATAGTTTATTTTTGTAATATCATATAATATATAGTACTTAATAATAACCATATGACTAATAACTGATTTACTAATTAACTAATTCACTAAACTGATATAATGACCGTTGTGTCCAGTAACTTTCAGACACGTTGTGACCTTCTTAGACCTGGAATATTATGTAATAAGAAACTGGGCCACGTGTCATCGTCATTTTCACTCTGCAGGTTCAAGAGCATGCGTTTTGTAGCCGATTTAAAAAGGTTTATGGAAAAAAGTGTGGGTAGGGTGCTTACATTTGCATTTACAGCATAAATTGAGAGTAAAGGTCCTTTGAAGAACATCGAAGATCTGAAATGTGTGGTGTTGTACTCGGCTAACCAGGATGCTGCAGTCACGTGATCTGAGTTTGCAGTGGGTGCATTTTCTGGGATAGTCATACAGATTTGTTGAGGGACTGAGCTGCGGAAATGTTTGATTCGGTGCATGAGAATTAGTGTGTTTTTTACAATAACACTGTGCACCGTGAGTATACCATTGTTATTGAAAAATTGTTTTGTGTGTTCTGGCAGTCGACCGTCTTTGTAAAAGTAATTAATGTGACCTGGCATTACTGCCCTGATACCCTGTTTTTGTCGTGAGAAGAGTGATTCAATGTTCAATGTTCAATGCTGTAGTCATACGGGTTCTTCTTAAACGTATCCTGCTCTTTCTTCTCGAGCTTGCCCCTCTTCTTCTTGAGCTCATCGCATCGACTTTTGTTGTGGAGCCGCACCAGCCGGAGGTACTCTCTTTTCGCTGTGGCTGTAGCGTTAGTGTCATACTCTGTTGC